CCGTGCATGACATGAATCACAGTCTCACAGTCTTCTGAGTGACAGTAAAATTATTTGTTTTCTGCAATGTTTTGATGTTATTGATGTTATAACACAAGCAATATCAAAACATCAGCAGCTGTTGAAGATGTTGAACAGCACATGTTCAATACAGGACTAAAGTAGATGGTCTAGTAGAATGAGGCAGTCTTAAAATACTCTTTAAACTCTCCATCATGTGTCTAACATGACACACATTTACATAGGAGTGCAATGCTAGTAACCAGACACGAATGTCCCAGGTAACAATCTTGTTATAAGGGTGGAAATGTTCCTGTTTGCTTGTAAACAGTGCTCAGCTTATTAGCACACAGTACAAGTCATTTAATCAAATCAATGGAGAATCCAAAACTTTGTGTTATGGCATCTATTCAGTAAGCTGAAAAATATTTAATTCCACAATGGAGACAAAGGATGCACACATTAAAACTAGTGAATGCTATATTAGCACCTATCTGAATAGTGGTTTATTATAAGCATGAAAATCTAACTTGCTAACCAATTTTCTTTCTGCTGCAGGCACCGTTGGATTGGCACTACTGACAGCCGGATGGATTGTGAAGCAGATGATCTCCTGAGTCGTCTGCTTTTGCCAGAAAGAAAAGATGCTTTTAATATCAGGGGTGAAAGGTATTTCTGCTAAGGGAACAGCTATGCTTTTGCTTCCTGTCAGCTTGAATCAGTTTGCACTGTCTCGCCATGCAGTGCCGTGCAGACAGTGTTTACCATGAAGGCAATTTTATACTTTTATACTTTATACAACTATAAGCTCAAAAATATTATATTTACACTTCTTCTTACAGCACTGAAACACTTTATCATTCTTCAGGCACATCGGTTTCCATCCTTTACTGTTAAATGACAAAATGAAAGTGATTTAGAGAGCATTGGAATATATCCTACAACCTAAAAACCTCACTTGTTTTTTTTTTGTTGTTTTTTTTTGAGTCGTGTTTCTCTCAGGGGTGTATTTACCAAGAAAGACCCTTTTAAAAATTTCATGGATTTCTTCCACAAGCCAAAATAATAATGATCACCAGTCAATTTTTTCGCTTTTGTCTCCTTGCCCCTTTTGGTAAGATTTTTAAGTTTAGTGTTAAATTACGACAAAATATTTAAAAAGTGTAACATTTTCCTTATTAATGAGACAATTTGCTGCTACCATTTATTTATTGATACTGAATGTGTATGGACATGACCTGCTGCTATTTAAATGACAAATTTATTGATGAAGATAAACATTCAATTTATTTGAAACACACTAAACTACAGTACAGAGGTGTACTTAGCTGCTACACTTGGTAAATACAACTCCCAGAGTTCACTGAACAAAGCTGCTCACAGAAACCTTTCAGAAATTGTGACTAGTGTATTATGAAGGGAAGAAGGTTTCTGTTGTGTCATAGGACTGGAAGAGGTTTAAAAAATGTGTACATGCCAATTTGATGTTTACAAACCAGTGATGGTAAAAACCCAGGTACTAATTTTAACAAACTGAAGTAGGTCCCACTTGTCACTTTACTGTTATAATCTCAGGAAACAAAAATACAGTGAAGTGCTGAGAAATTTATTATTTATTTATTTAAAAAAATACCCTGAATGCACTTGAAAGAAGGTCAGAGATTGTCGAAGCAGAAAAGAGCATCTTGTGTTTGTTTGGTTTACTTGAATTGCACCAGCGACCTCAAAGCTGTATTTTACTACTGTAGGACTAAACCAAGCACAGAACACAGCTTGTTTTAGTGTTTCATACATTTTCAAGCATCTCTAAACAAACTGCTCAGAACTAACTAAACTAATCTAAACTGGTCAAAACAATTACCACTGACACTATCCAAAGTAACAAAGCAAATATTCAGGTAATATCTGTTTTGAAACCACTTACTGGTTAACTGAGCTGCTAATAAATAAGCTACTTTCTTTGAACAATTTTATTTTTGAGTAAATATGCTCCATATAAACATTTCAAGTTATGACAAAATAAGCTATTTAAACTATGTGATTGGTGCCTTGGGAAACTGAGATTAGGCGTTTTTAAAAACTTTTATTTTTAATTTCATAATGGGAATATGACATTTCTTTTTTACAAAAAATATCTGCTGCTTTTATTCATTTTAAGTGACTAAAGATAAGGTATTTACAGCTTTTTTGACAGGCTAAAGTAAACTCTTTTTAGCTGAGATTTAATAAAGAATCAGTCAATATTCAAGACAATACTCATAGATTATTGAATTTTATTTATGTTGTGATCCATTCTTATTCTGCAAAATGCCAAATTTATGTGTGGCTCATCTTATTAAAAGATGACATAAATACAGTTATGTGGCACATAGTTAAATAGCTGAAGGACAACACCAGCAGTGGAAGGAGTAACATTCCCTAAACACACAGTTCTCATGTACAGCTCTTCCTGCAGAACTCTTAATGCAATGGCAGCTATGAATGTTTACAATATGTATTTGAATAGTAACTGTAACGGTTTTACTACATTTAAATGACAGCTACAACTAGTAAAGCAGAACCAAAGCCATTCTCTGTATAGATGGAGTGGAAATGAGATAAACTGCCAGTATTTCTTTACCAATGTTTTCCACTCCATTTCTCTCCTCCCTACAATAACTGTTTCGCCCAAATGTGGCCCATATCTGCAGTTTTCTCTACAGGCACTTTGGCCTTGACTAATGGTACTGTGCTGGTTCTGGTGGAGTAAGTTTAATACCAGGCTACATCTGACCCAACACTAGCTGTGACCAATGTTAGGACCACTCTGTGCCTTTTATCCATGTTTGGCAGATGCACCATTTGCCAGTTGCCATAAAATAGCCAGATTAAACCCAGATGTGTCTTCTTTCTGGAATACATTATTTTCTTTTTTGTTTTTTTTATTGACCTCTCATGTGTTTTACAAATATTCGACACTTCCACTCCAACTAGGGAAACTATTTTACATTTTATTACCAACTTAAAGTGTAAAGTATTAAAAAAATAAAATATTAACAATGTTTTCATTTGGACCAGATGAATATGTAATAAATTGTCCTACACATCTGCTACATTATATATAAGGCATTAACTTTAAACTCTTTCTGCCCATTAAAAAATGCATTAAAAAAATGTGAAAAAACACACAAACTTTAGATTTTCTCTAATTTTTTTTTATCATCAAGACAGTCCATGTACTTTCAATACAACATGTTTTAATTGTGATTTTTTTAAATCAGTTTCTTAATCATATCATTAGCTTTTGATTAAATAAAATAAAATCAATACATTTGTTTTAATTAACAAACAATCATGCTCTTTTTTGCTTCCCGATTATCTCTTATCTTTTGAAAATGATTATTTCATTAAAATTGGGCATTAAGTTAATAATAGAAACATTCCAATAAAAGCACTAAAAAGCTGTCCCACTGAAATACAAAAAGGACATATCAAACGTAACAGCTGAGTATTTAAAAACTATGCAGCCAATTAAGTGGTGCTTTTGTTTGTTTGTTGTGTGTGTTTGTGTGTCTGTGTGTGTGAGAGAGATATGGGGTGGGGGACTTTTAGTATTATTGTTTTTATTAGAGACTTCATTAGAGACTGGAAAAAAATGTGAAATAATCAAAAACAAAAAACAAAAACTGAGCCAAATAGAATTAATTAAAAAAAAAAATTGCTGTGTTTGAAAATCCTACTGCCAAATAGGTGTTTATTTGTTTGTTTGTTTGTTTGTTTGTTTGTTTGTTTTAACCACACTGTTGTAATATGATCTATTGAAGCACCAAACATTAGAATGTAAAATCCCATATTTTTACAGTCATGTGTCATTTCATGCAGTAGGGTGTAGGGTACTTATGTGCTTTCCTTCTTGTGTTGCTGCTATCATATGTTAATCAATGCATCAGTGCTGTCTATGCTGGTAGTATAATATTATTGCACACCTATGAAATAAAACAAAACAAAACACAATTATTGTGTGTGCTGAGTGCTTTCTTAATGAAGAGGTAACAGATGTAGTTTTATACTTGCACCAAGGGAGTGGCACTCCAATTTCGTTGTACTCTGTACAATGACAATAAAGGCTATTCTATTCTATTCTATTCTATTCTATTCTATTCTATACAAAAAGTCCATGTCACTGATAATCAGAGTTTTTAAGTTGGGTTCTTTTGCACAATTTGTTGTGCACAAAATTGTTCTGTACTACTTATTCTGCCATTTTATTTTGTTGAAATGTTAGTTTGAAACTATAACATTGTTTAGGTCACATAGTAAATGTGTATTTTTAAGCCACACATTACCATAAGTGTACTTTTCATATATTTGAAAGAAATCCAGTGAAAAAAACCTGATAATAAGAGTGTAATATGCTATTTTTCTTTTTCATTTTTATTTGAATCACTGAAAAAAAGATGTTTATCACGTCGTGGAAGATCCAGGAAATTGAAACCAGGCCATTTCTGGGGTCATTGACTGCAAAAACTTTGCAAAAAGTAAAATAAAATAAAAATGCACCCAGTCAGAAAAACTGAAGACTCAGACTGACTAAAGAACACATCTGTTTATTTGTTTCAGAGCGCAGTACATGTACTTTAGAGTCTTTACAAAATATTTACATAGATTTATCTATTTATTCTTTGGGTACCAGAGAAATTAAAAAACTAAAATGAAGAAATAAGGAATCAGCTTGGGATAATTTATCATTTTCTAAATTCACAACATACACAGCAGTAAAAACTGCTGCAGAGTTTGAACATGTATGAAATATAATCCCTGTGTGGTATCAGATGTTGACTAGAGGCATGAGATTTCTGCACAATCTTGAAGTGCATCATGACACTACACTTTATCCACTGACATTTTTATCACAGCTTTTGACAGACTATTGTCACAATATTGTATGTAAAATATTTCATTGTTAACACCAAGTTATTCCTATAAGCACCATAATATCTGATGTTTAGTTTCAGATTTTTTTAACTCACTGGCCCTTTCACCAGACCCTGCTCTTTGCGCATCACTGGTGCATAAATGCTGCAGTCTCGTGCCTCGCAAAATCCCGGTACACCTGCAAATCCAACCATGCCGGGTGGACCCACGGGACCAGAGAAGCCACGAGCCCCACGGAGACCCTCCATGCCATCTTTTGGTTCTGCCGGGTTACCTGGTGAACCTGTAAAAAGCAAAATTTGAAAAAAGAAAACATGGTGCAAACATTCATTACGCTATATCAAGACAGTACTGAGTTTTTGGCTAATTACGGACTAAATAAATAAATTAGTATGTTTTTTATTTTTTATTTTAAAAAAATTCAGGCTTTACTACTTGTTTATTACAGATACACTGTTATCTTTCACTGTTATCTAATTCAAGATAAAAAAAATAAAAAAAAACAGTCCTGAAGTAATGTTTACAGGATGTTTGACAGTGTGGATGCGACCAGTGTCCTACCTCTGAGTCCCTGTGGTCCGTTGAGTCCTGGCAGCCCTATACCCGGATCTCCTACAACGCCTTTGGGTCCCTTTCGACCTTTTAAAAAAGATAAAAGATGCAACTCACAAAGCTGCACAACTATGTTTTCAAACGTTTTTTTCCCTTTTGATGAAATACTGACACTGTGAGTAAAAACCATGGCAAGAATACTATTCTAAATGATTTTAAATTGTTTAATTTACACTAGTGCCGTTCTTTAGCTATCCAACTTTTTCCCCACTATGTGCCCTTATATGTCCATCTTAACCTTTCAAAGTTCTTAAACTCTAAAACCTTCAATAAAAAGCATAAATATAAAAAAATAACATAGGTATTTAATCGGTCAAGGGAGTAGGAAACTCTTGCCTCTGTCGCCGGGTGTTCCCTTTTGTCCCTCCAGTCCTCTGTCACCTTGAACACCTCTGGCTCCTTTTGCTCCGGGTTTTCCTACTTTACCCTGATAGATGAAGGCAGAAATTATATTAATATACTAATAGGTATAAGGGCAGGACATCCAAGAGTTTATATCACATCCCTAGTTTATCTCACAGCAGCTATTAAAATGACAAATAAATAATAAAAAGACTGAAGAGGGACTTGCAGCTTTGCCTGGTGGCCCTGGTGGCCCTTGAGCTCCTGGGGGCCCAATGAGTGTCCGGTTGTTGATGGGACAGCCCTGAGAGCACTTGGCTCTGATGGAGGAAGCATACTGAGAGATCTGAGCTGTAACAACACCTCTGCAGAGCTGCAAGACCTGCTCATCAGTAAGCCCAGGACCCTGCAGGACAACAAACAATTCAGATTCTCTGCATCAATGCTGCAAAACTCCAGCGTTACAGTAAGAAGCTATCATCTTACTCTTTAAGTGTGAACGAAATAATAAACTGGTCAGGTTCAGACAAAATCAGACATCTGATGCTGATCACTAGAGGTGTTGGAAGTTTCTCTGACGTCTAAGATACAAAATGAATGATAAGTTAGTCACGAAAACATTGTGCACATTAATTAATAATGGGAATTCATTCTAATTATTAATGATTTTAGTAGACTGAGGCCCAGCTCTTAAGAAGACACGTTATTGTGATTTATCCAACAGTAATTTTTTCTGTGATATTATCAGCCTTCTGTTTGTGAGATGTATAAAAGCTAAAATAATATAAGCCAATAATATTTTCACATAACATTTGGACTTTTCAAAATGACTAACTGAAGTGAAAATAATGGAACCAGGAAGGAAATGATGTCAGGGAAATAAGTTTCAGCGATACTTTTAGTTCCTCTTTTAAATAAGGCAGTAGATATTATTTAGAACACACTGAGTGTGTTTCAAGTTTAACTTAAGTTGAAAACAGGGATTTTTCAGTTTAATCAGAATCAGAATACTTTATTGATCCCTGGGGGAAATTATTTTTTTGTTACAGTGCTCCATTATAAACAACATTAACAAGACCGACAATACGCTAACTAAGAATAGTACAATATATAAATATATATATATATATGTGTGTATATATATATATATATATGTGTGTGTATATATATATATATGTGTGTGTATATATATATGTGTGTATATACATATATATATATATACATATATATATATAACAGCAAACATGAACCTTCAAGTATTAACACTGATGAACTGGTGTTTACAATGGTTACAAATGAATATTGTTTCAATGTTGGTTAATTCAAAAATCCATGCATTCTCCCATGCAGATGTTACTCACAGATGGACCTTGCACTCCTTTAGGTCCAGCTCGACCCTTAAGACCTGGGTCCCCGGCTGGACCACGTTGTCCTCTGACCCCTGGGATGCCAGGAGGTCCAACCGGGCCTGGAGCCCCAATGGGACCAACAGCTCCCTTAGGCCCACGCTGTCAAAAGAAGATGTTTCAAATGAGGAAGAAAGAGGCATGTGAGTACTTTTACACTACAACAGATTACTGTTTATACCCCAAAAAGCGTAATTAGTATGACTAATTTTTAGTTAGTTGTCTGAGCTTTTGCAAATCATATGTTTACACAGATTACAGCATGGGCAACGGGGAAGTGAAGTGAAGATATTTTGAAAATGTGTGATGATAAAATTTTTTTGAATATTTTGTCTTGAAATCCCATCATAATAACATAAGCTTCAGCTCAACTGTCAGCTGTTAACCTGGCAGACAGTATGGAGAAATCATAAACAGTTCTGGCAGCTATGAAGAACAGATGCTAATGTGGATACCTCTGCTTTGAGACAAGTGATAAAGCTCCAGCATCAGAATGTCTTTTGAAACAATGTTACACTGGATGCCTGTTTGTATGTTTATTCTGAAAGTTGTTGTTTCATAGTTTAGAACAAACTTCATGCTGCACTGAAGCAAAGGACAATACTGGAGCAGGGCTGGACTGTCAGTTTTCCCAAAGGGCCATGTGACTAACTGGGGCTGTTGTGGATGACTGAACCAACAAACTTAACTCAGTTGTACTCAGTATTAACTTTATCTCCTTCTAAGCTTATTGGTGCAGTACTCCACACCAGTCCCTGTATAACTTTGCCTTTTTCAGCTTTAACATGACAATACCCTTGTGTATAAAGCCTGTTCCCTAAAATGTTAGTGTGGGAAAGAAATGACTGGCCTGACCTGAGTTCAATGACATGCAACTCCTTTAGGATAACCTTAAAACTCTGAAGGCTATCCAGACCGATTAGCCCTGTTTAATGTTCATGGTTTTAAATTATTTATATATTTCTTTTACATATGGAGTAATGTGTTCTGATTTTTGCCTGATATATGTAGGATATTCTACTAAAACCGATAACAACTTGGAATCAGTATAATAAGGAAAGGCATGAAATGGTTTTTTTATGGATTCAGAAACTCACGCTGCGTCATGGGCATGTATTTCTATGACGTTAGAGTAAAAACAAGAAATGTAAATCAAGTACGCACCTGTCCTCTGTCTCCACGGTCTCCTACGCTTCCCTGAAAGGTAAAACGAAAAAGGAACAAACTCAGTGAGTAAATCCCAGCGGGGGTGGAAAGAGGAAATGAAATGGAGAGTACGGTTTGTAGGAAGATGTTTCTTTATCTAACTGTAAACAGGTAAAATCACCTTCTGTCCTTTCTCGCCTTTCGTGCCCTTCTTCCCTGCTGCACCCTGCAGGGGAAAGTAAATATGATGAAACATTGAGAATTATCATCTCCAAGTCTGAGGCCATGGTTCTCCACAAGAAAAGTGTGGAGTGAAATTTGTCTGGGTTTAAGGATAAGTTGCTGCCCAAAGAGTTTATGTATCTGCTTCATGAGTGAGGGAAGAAAAGAGCAAGAGACTGATTGGTGAGGCATCTGCTGTAATACAGACACTGCACTGTTCTGCTGTGGTGAAGAGAGAGCTGGGGTTGAAAGTGAACCTTTCAGTTTATGGCTCATTCTACATCTCCACCCTCATCTGAGCCACCACCTCAGGGTAGTAAATGAAAGAATAAGACTGCAGCACAACTTTGTCCAAAGCATGTTTATGCTCATGCTCAGAGTGAGGGTTCTGAGCTTGGCCATTCGGGAGGAACTCAAAGTACAGCTGGTATTCCTTCACATCAAAAGGAGCCAGCTGAAGTGATTAGGGCAGGAAGCCTACTGGATGTCTCCGAAGGCATGTCCTGGAGGAGGTCTCAGGGTAGATCCAGGACATCAAGGTTCAAGGTTACTTTATTTATACCTGTAGGTAAATTTGCTTTACAGAAAAATGATAGCATTAGTTTGCTATTATTTTTGCTTCTTGCAGTAAATTACTCTTTAGTCTGTATTCTGTTTATGTTTAATATGCTGGTAACATGAAGGCTAAAAATGATTAAGATGGACTGATAGGCCCCATGCTGATACGTCTGTGCCCCCCTTCCCCGACCTTCTTTATGCTGCTGCCACCTTAATACCAAATATTAAATAAAGAAATAAAAAGTGCCAACTAAGAAATTTTGATCATGTTTCTACAACCAGCACAAGATGTCAGCAGTTAAGCAGAGAAGCCCAGACCTCCCTCTCCCCAGCCACCTCCTCTAGCTTATCTGAGGGAACACCAAGGCGTTCCCAGGCCAGCCGAGAGATATAATCTCTCCAGCGTGTCCTTGGTCTGCCTCGGGGCATCCTCCCGGTGGGACAGGCCCAGAAGACCTCACCCAGGAGGCATCCTAGTCAGATGCCCGAACCACCTCAACTGGCTCCTTTTAATCTGGAGGAGCAGCAGCTCTACTCTGAGGACATCATGGTGGTGCTATAGTTGCTGCCTCATAGGAAGAGGGTGTTAATCTGGTGGGGGACTGAGCAGTTTGCAGATGTGTTGAAAAAGAAAAGTATTTTTTAACTTTCAGCCAAATTTATGAGTGGAGCGACAACCTTCCAACTTTCATTTTGAATTAGATCTCAACAATATTAAGACATGTGGTTTTACTGCTATGGTAGTTTTTTCCTCCGTTTATTCTACTCCAACATAAATGAGAAACTGCTACACCCATGAGATAACAGAAAGCCTTAAGCCTTAAGCACACACACAAACACTAGCAGCCCCTGAGCCTTGACACTAAATAATACCCAACAAAGTTCATGTCAAACACAACAAAACTCTGACAACACAGACAAGGGAACTCCCCAACTTAGCAATTCAAACCGCACCTCCGTCCACACACAGACACATGAAAGTGATTCTAAATAGGAAAGTATTTAACTAGCTACTTATTCTGACCATACAACTGACAAAAAATTGTTTGTCTGTTTTCACTGACTCAGAGTTGTCATGAATTTATGAAGGACTTCAAAGCCTGAACTGAATTTGAATTTTGAGTCAGCACTCTCTGGTAGCTAGGTTTTGTTTACAAGTGAAAGTGTGTCTGGTCTTTTAGGCATACAAAAGGTCACAAGTTACAGTCGCTATACCTTTATTTTATATTACTATTGTAATGCAGTTTGACTGTGTAGTTAAAGAACTCACCTTCTCCCCATCAGGTCCCGTCTCACCTTTGGGCCCCTGTTAAACAAAAATCAATTAAACACACAACTAAATAATATATCTTGATATTAAAGGTCTGTGGGTCAGTTCTGAAAATTATCAAAATGTGTGGAAGACGTTTGGAAGAATGACTAAACACTAAACTAACACAAATAGAATGATTAGCACAATACTTAAGTTAATATTTAAACTATAACTGCTTTTATTAGTTAATACAGTAATCCTGACTGCAAAACCGCCTGGTAACCACCCATTGTTTTGGTCACTAGGAGACTGCGTGGAAGACACAGAACTGTCTGCAAAAACTCACTATTTGCTGACTTTTGGTGGCACTTTTTTCAAGTTTCACTACTGCTCTTTTGAGTAGTTAGCAAGTGTTTGCAGACAGGTTGGTGTCTTCAAAATAAACTACTGGCAACTGTGGTAATTTGCTGACAAAATCAAGTGAAGGAGGTTTTTGGTGCAGCAAAAACAATGCAATGTTTGATATTTCTTAAAAGACTGAAAGATAGAAGAGAGAAATCCTTGAAGATGTTAAATGGTAAATGGCCTGTATTTATATAGCGCTTTACTAGTCCCTAAGGACCCCAAAGCGCTTTACATATCCAGTCATCCACCCATTCACACACACATTCACATGTTGAACACAGAGTATTGCGTGCACACACTTTTGGGCCTTGGAGGCCCTTTGCTCCTGGTTTTCCTGGTATTCCAGCATCTCCTTGTTCTCCTTGGGCTCCCTGTTGAACAAATTAAAAAAAAGCAACTGAAAATTAAATAGGCTTGCGCTGTGCAGATATTTTATCTATCATTTCTGCTGTTTTTACAATTATATTAAAAACAGCTAAAGAAATCTTAAGCTATTGCCTATACGGTAACTTTGAATAGACGATGATGAGATATGAAAATCAAACAATTGGTCACTTAATGGTATTATTTACATTACAGTAATCAGTCAAAAGTCTTTCATCAGAATAATCAACAGTCTTACTGAAACTGACTCAGTCATTCAGAAATCACATTCGTGTCAAGACTAAAACAAGTGATGGGGGGAAAAAAATCTGCATTTCTCTGAATAAATATCTTGTGGAGTGCCACAAGGGTCTATGCTGGGGTTTCTTGTTGTTTTCTCTGAATTTGAAGGAAATCCATCAACCACTTACATTTCTATATGCCAAAGTGTATATCAGGTATGCTGCGCTTAAAGCAATGTTTGGTTTTGAAAAGTTCTCTGAACACCAACTTTGAAATAATTACTCAGGATTTAACTGATAGAATCCACTGTAATGAACAAATGTAAAAGCACTGTATGGTCAGTCACCAGTTTACTGAGCTTCTCATCTCTCTGTCAACCTCTTCTCCAGATGTTCCAGATATGTAACTCTGGATTAAAGTATATTAGAGACACATAAAAATACATTAAGTTTGCCTGTTGGCTCTATTAGCTATAATCCAAACTAACAGTGTGTTTGTTATTTGTTTTTTTACTATTAGCGATATCCTCTTTTCATAGTTTCACTGTTAAGGTCACATGGGTTTCATTGACTGGATTCATGCCAAAATAATCTGCTGATTTGAGCTTTGGGAAAATTCTTTACTTATTCAGTAGAACAGCTGCTTAAAGTTGTACAGTGTTATGTTTTAATGAAAACCGCTAGCTTCACTTCCACTTCGGGATTTTCCCTGACTTGCAATTTGCTGATCTATGGACAGTTTCCATAACTTAGATCAGCTGAACTGAGAAAGAATAAAAAAATTAAAAAAGTCAGTCCACTGCTAAGTATCTATTCTGTGCATCCAGTAAATAGCTTGAATGTACTCAGATTCAATATATTTTTGTAAATAATTTGTTAGGTTTGATATTTCCCAGGATTATAAATAATCTCACCGCATTCATCTGTAACTGTTTGATGTTTTCTGCTTTCAATTTCTATTTCTTAAATAAAATGCAGCCCTATTATTCATATTATCTTCATGGATAAAAACAGATATGAATTTGTTTATGTCTAGCAATATGTTTCACTTCCCTTTGGTATCTCCCAGAAAATTAAAAAGAAAAAAGAAAAAAAACACTGGCATATAAAGGCTAAATGCAACTGCTAAAGTTCCCCTAAGCCTACAGAGACCATAGATTTCACACAACATTAGTTTGACATTTACATGGGACTGGCCAAAGAGTGGTAAGACAATGAATAACAACGAAGCAGCAGATGTCGCGATAACCAAAGGGTCTGTCCCTATTACTCAATTTAAACCCATGGGTAACTTTTTGGCTTCTCAGACCAAATAACCCAGGTGGTCATAACTAGGGTACTTTCTCAGTAATTTGTTTCTGTTATTGGGAAAACTACTTTTACAAACTGGCTATGAAGATTTGTGTTTTGTTTTTGATGAAAGGTTATATGTATTTAGTTTACTGATTGTCAGTGTAGGTTCTTAGTCATCCAGGACATGGTAGTCTCGAGTGCCTAAAAAGAAACCAACTGGACTTTTTTAGGTTTGTGAGGATGTTTCTCCTCTCATCCAAGAGGCTGTTTTAAAGTTCCAGGGATTTAAGCTGCATTCCAGATTCCAGATATCTTGGAAGTCGGGAGTGGCATCACTCCAGAGTTAGAGCGCTCCAAGAAAAACAGAATTTGTTTTGACTGTCAGCAAGCTAGAGCCATTCAGGTATCACTAGAAATAAAGCATAATATTTATTCTTTATGCTTAAAAAAAACACATTTGTGGATAGAACCTGATCACTGCTCTGCATAGGACTTATTTAATGAGTGAAAAATACACAAGAGTTGGAGTACAGAATAAAAGTTTGCAGTTCTACTATTGTTTACATTCAGTGCTGCCATGTTGGTATGCTCCATCTTTTCAATTGGGAACTTTGTTCCACAATTCTAACCCGACTTCCAAGTTATTCAGGAGCGAGTTAGAATTAACACAGTATGCAGTATTAACCTCCAGTGGGAACTGGAAGTGGTCTTCAGGGTTGCTGACACATTAATAATCATCTGAGATGTCACATGAGTCAAGGAGTGAAAAAAGCACTGGGTCATTCGGTCACTGAGTTGTGTGAAAGTGTGAAATTTTTGTAAGATGTTGCCCAACTCCATCATAGAGGGATCTCGAGACTGGACTGTAGGTGACTGACGGCTGGTGTCGTAAGTCATCACCTCTGTTAAGTGATTGTCACCCACCTTCCAAAATGAAAACTTTGGCACTGGCAACATGACATTCTAAAAATAATAAGTTGTTCTTAAGACAATGTTGCCAATGTTCTTATAATTCTTACCTGTTGTATTTCACTAACATTACATGGACAAAAGCACTGGGGCAGCTGCATAATAGATGTACAGGAACTGCTTGGCCATCGAAGTCCGTACCATGAAGCTCAGTTTTTGTGCTACTGTTTAAGCCAGAGGGGGTTTGGAACTCTTACTTTAATTTATCGCACAATGCACCTCAGTATTCAGAAACCCTGCTCTGTAATTTGAACAGTGATCTTCCACTCCATGTCTGAATTGCTGCCGTTCTTAAGCAATAACAACACTTAAAATTTATCACTGAATATCAAGAAGGTAAGATTTTCGCAAAATGGCTTCTTTTTTAACCATTACTGCATGGCTTGGTGCTAAATTTTGTGCACCTTGTGGAAATGGGACTAAAAATACCTGAATTCAGAGGTGGTCTTTTTTGTCCATATAGCGTGCATTTTGGATCCTTTCTTACATTTAATGATTGATAAAAATTGTGGGGCATTGGGAATAAACTGTATTTCAGCTCCTGCAGCGGGGCATTCCAGAAAAAGTCTGAGAACCACTCGTGACAGGCAGGGACCTGAGATCACTGGACTAGAAAGACCGGACTGGCCTGTAAGTAAAACACACGTGCAAAAGTAACTCTTTTGCTCATGGGAAAATCCTCCAGTTTAAGGGAACAAAAGAAGAACTGGAATGGGCGTGATTTATTGTGGGAATTGTCACAAGAACTGTTGTATGTTTGTAAATAATGAAAGGAACCAAACACGGAAATGGACTGTGGGAGAAAAAGGAAAAACTGAAAGTGGAGTTTTTGAGTTAATTGACTGGGCTTTCCTAAGTGTGATCAATTGAAAATGTATGTGTTTTTCATGATTGGTGTTTCAAGACATTTAAGTGGTTATGGGTATCTAAATTTTGCAATTTGTCTTTCCCACTTTGTATTATAACTGTGACGTCACTCACTCACCCCAGCACCCACTCTGCCTCGAGGTCCTCTGATGCCACCATCGCCTTTACTCCCCTGCCAAGGAAGAGCAGGTAATAATAGGTTAGAGGAAGAAAAGACAAAATAGACACTAGAGCCCAGTTTGTGTCTGGATGACAATAACCTATAAAGTTTTATGACTGTAACTTCCACAGTTCACATTTCAGTATCATGTTAACAACAACCTGTCCTGACATTTAAGCACCATTCAGTGTATAGAAACCACCTTTGGGGCTAATTCCTGGTACAGTAGGTGGCTTTAGGATCTATTTTTCCAATGACTTTTACAAAAGGAGTCATATGGTGAAAGAAACATTGGTGGTCCAGGGTATATGCTACAGCTGTGTGTTGCTGTTAAGGCCAAAGTATTGCAGAACTACAGTAAAAAAGAAGGTTTTCAGCGGAATTTTACAGTCCTTTGAAAAAAGGTACACATTTACTGCTTCCATAGGAATTAACTACGGAAATCCAAATCAAATCCACTTGATTAGCTGATCATCAGCAAGTGTGAACATTTATAAAAAGCATACATTTTTTCTGGAGCATTTAGGTGTGCATTAACACAATACCATGCAGTGCTCAAAGAAACTGCAAAAAACCCAAGAGCTACATCTGAGATCCTAAAGTCCTCAGCAAACTGTCAAAGTTGACGACAGTCCAATAAGAAAAAAAAAGGGGGGTGATGATTTGAGCTTGTTTTCGAGCCTGGGCACTTCAAAATTATTGAGTTGAACATGATTTCCTGTGTATGCCAAAGTATTCTAGAGTCAGAATCAGAATACATTATTTTATAAGAACAATAACTAAACTAAATAAATAATACCATATATGAAATTTGTAAAATACAACAAAATGACTCTACTAGATATAAATAGCCCTAATTATAAATATTCCAGTATATTACACAAATTAAACATATATGGTTGACATTTAGGTGCCCATCTTATCACACTGTACTTTGTTTTGTTTTTTGTAGAGAATGTACAATGGGTGTACAACTATTGCAGTGTGTACTTGTGTTTTACATGAATGAGTTGTACAGAGATGCACAGGCAGGAATGATTTCCTGCGTCGTTCAGTAGTGCATTGGGGTAATCTCCGTGTCTCTCTTGTTACTGGCCAAGATGTCATGGAGTGTAT